ATCCCATCCCACCCCATCCCATCCCATCCCTTTGGACATCCAGCCTGTAAAAACGATGCCATACAAGCACTTCCAAAGCACCTAGTCTGGGAATGACACCTTGGACTGCTCGAGTTAGGAGAACTCAGAGGTTTTGCAATTAGGACCATGTGCACTGATGAGACACAGAGCATCTGCAACTGTCCCACCACTGCTCCTCACAGGAGGACCCTCTTCTGTCCCAGCTGGGATCTGGGGGCTGTCCCCATGTGCCCCGTGTGTTCCAGCAGGATGCAGCATGCCTGGCCTGGCTGGCACTGGGCATCAGCCCAGAGATTCCATGGGGCTGGTCAGGCCAGGGGGGCCTGTGGGAGGAGGGAGGTTTATTGTGCCAGCTCATACAGCAAACATGGCCTCCAGCAGCACCCTCACATGGCAGAGGCTCTTCCTGAAGCAGAGAGCTCCTGGGTTTCAGGATGGCACCTTGAGGATCCCTGTTCTGGTCAGATGCCATAACTGGGCAGGAGACAATGGACTGTGAACACTGACTGGCCACCAGCAGCGTGCTGGCAGTCCTACTGTATGTAGCAGCATTTAGGGAACCAGTCACTGTTCTGAAGGAGCCCCAGCAGCTGTCCCTGCACAGATGTGCTCCCCACCAGCTCCTGCCCAGACAGCACTCACAGCGCTGCTCTGAGGGCTGGGAGAGGGCACAGGGGCAGCCCCAGCTCCAGTCTGGCAGGTAAAGTCCATGGCTCAGACCTGTCCCGCCTGGAAAGCCTCTGAAGAAGTTAGAGAGGCCTTTCCTGGTTGGGTTGTACGTGTGCCATTACAGAAGGGCTGCAGGGCTGCCACGGCAGCTACAAACTTCCAGTCAAATGAGTGTTTATTATTATAGGTTTGATGCAGTTCCCAAAACACCCTAATCAACAAGTAATAAGGCCTCGAGAGAGCAATTAGAAATCTGAACTTTAACTCTCTTATAACCACAGAGTAGGAAGTGACTTCTGTTCCAGTTTGGGGTTTGCCACCTGGCATGTGAACGAGGGGGAAATACCAAAAACCTGAAATACCAAGAACCTGAAATACAGAATAACTGCAGACAAGTATTTGAACAATGAGGTACAAGGTCCATTTCTACAGAAAGTAAATGTGTGTGTGGCAAAAAGCATAATGGTTCCGGGGGATTCATGCCCAAATTTGCAGCCTCTCTATCCCATTTAGGTCTTTTCAATGCTTCCTCTCAGCTTTAGACAAGCACCAAGGGTGTTCAGTGCCTGTACATGTGCAGCATCTGCCCCCTTTAAAGAAAAAAAATTACCTCAGTTTTCCCACTTGTGAAATAACAACACTATCTGCCTAAAGGCAACACCAGCCCTCGAGATGCGGGTTTGCTCAGAACTTGTTTTGAATACTTTGGATAGGCCACTTCAGACAGGAACTGCACATTGAGTAATTCTTGCCATAGAGAATCACGTGGCTACTGGAAAGCAGAGAATTGCACAAGAGCCCATCTGCGTAGCACGGCTGGGTCGGGAGCTTGGCCAGGAGGGCCCGTGCTCCACCAGGGCTGGGGGCCCTGGCTTGCCAAGGAGCTGTGCCAGCAGCAGCACACACCCACAGCTGGGAGACCCCTGCTCCTTCAGCCTTGGAGGCTGTTCCTCAAAAGCCTTACTCTGATCTTTCTTGCTGAGCTGCCAGATGTTGGAAGGCCAGGCTCTGGTTCCCTGGGTTCCCTCGGCACAGCAGGCAGCAGCAGGCACAGGGCAGGGACAGCAGCCACCTGCAGCCACACAGGGCTCTTGCACCCAGCAGGTACAGCTGAAAGAGGCCCTGCCCTCGTTCAGGGGAGCATCCAGAGTGGAATGGACACACTCCCCACCCAGGCTGACCACCAGGAGTGCCGGCAGTGCTGGTCCTGTCCCAAGGCCAGGGTGCTGTGCCTGCGAGGAGCAAGGGCTGCATCCCTGCCAGCTGCCTGTAAGGACAGCAGAGCCTGGAGATCCTGGTGAATTTTAGATGTCCCAGCCTTAAAGAAATTTCAGGTCTCAAAACTTTAGTTTGATGTATAACTGGAGCCAGCAGAGGGAGTGAAATGCAGGGACACTGTAGTGTCCATGGCAAAAGGAGCTGCCAGGCTTTGATCCAGGTGCATCTGGTTCCATGACACGTCTCAGAACCCAAAGGGAGGGTACAGGTACACCTGGGCACAGGTGACACAGATACGGGTTAAGAGACGCAGGTGATCACTTGTAGGAGTGAGGGGTTCTCTTCTGCATCATTATCAATAGAAAAAAGAGATGTTCTTGGGTCTAACATTGTATGTTTCCAGTATGAAAAGGTACCCAGAGCAACCTCAACCTCTCAAATAATTCCTGTTCCAAGGGGCTCTGAGTAATGTCCCCATGAACAGGTTCAAATGCTTTATCTTCTGGCCGTGCTCATACAGTCCTGAGAGTGACCATATGAAGTCCTGAGGAGAAGCCTAAAATCAGCAATGCTGATATTGCTCCTTGTTCTCTTATGCCTCCAAAATATCCTGGTCTTGGCATTATCCTATGCACAAAGTGGGACAGACGTTCACAAACAGCTTCTTGGTGATTCCTTAGCTAATTTCTCTCTTCAAAAATAGCAATTTTGCAAATGGATTAGTTCTTCAGTGTCCACTTAGGATTTTTTTAGCCTCATCTTTAATGTGCCTTCAAAGACAGAGATAGTTTGCCCTTTTGACTGAGCATTGGCCGTTTTCGTTCACCATTTGATTGGAAGAGATAGGACATGATCTTTACTAAACTCTTTAGTAACGTGTGAGCTTCCTTCCAGCTGCCTCTGAAGGAGAATTTTAAAAACTTTTTAATCTGTGTGTTTATGCACCAGTTTCCAAAGAAACACTTCTTTGAGCAAAGTGCTAAATTGTAACAAGATGGTAGCTTTAATAATTGCATTGAATACTGTGGAATTAGTTTAAAATAAGTTTTTCCTCCTTGAAATGAGATTATGTTTGTGCCTGGATCAAGCAACTCTGCACCGGTCTTGAACTTGTTAAAAGATGGAAATCGGAATAACCACTGCAATATTGAAATGGTAAAACGAGAACAGAATGGCAATTGGCCAGTGTTTATGAATCAGAGAATATGATCATGAAATCATAAGAATAACCACCAAAAGGTAAATAAATTACCCAGCCTACTACTTATTTTCATGTGCAGCTTGACACAAAAGCTGAAGCCATGAATGATTTATACCTGTTTTAACAATAATACTCATTTTCCTGAAAGATGGTCAGCACTCAGGCTGCTGTGGGCACTGTGCCAGTCATTGAAAGGTTAATGTCTCAGCAGCAATACATTAAATTATGAATTATACCAGTCCCAAAATGGAAGGTTATTAGCTCGGTATGTTTAATTAGCCCGGCTCGAACTTTGCCATCTGCCAGCAGCGCCCATCACTAATGCACGGCCACGTGGGATAGGAGGGGTGGGAACCAGATGCCAGAAGCAGCAAACATTGCCCTGGGCCAGCC